GATATTTTATAGAGATTTCAACAATAAGTATGAATTTTGTTTACATTCCTATGGGTTCCGTACCAATGTTTACGCGTTAGACGGCGACGCGGCGCTTACGCGCTTTGATATTTCGTCGTTATGCAGTTAAAGCAGTACGATTGCTTTGAAAAAAGGTCAGATCTTCCAAAATATGTCAAAATAAAGAAAACATTTTTTTTTTCAAAAAAAAAAGAAATTTAAATTTTTTTTTTTTTTAAAAATTTTTTTTTCAGAAAAAAGTAATTTTTTGTCCAATTTATAGTTTCTCAAAAATCTTATTTTTTCGAAGTAAATTTTTTTCAAAAATGTTAATCGTTTTTAAAAAAAAATAATTTTTGGTACGGGAAGTTTCAGCAATTTGCTTTAAGGCACGATGCCTTGATTGCCTTAAGACAGAATTCCACTTACAGCTTGTTTCCAAATAAATGCATTGAAATTCCTTTAATTTGCTCCAGCACTGTGGGCTTTGTTAAATTTTTTGAATACCAAGAATAAATTTACTATTTATTAATTTAATTATTGTTTTAACAATTCTCATGCTCAAACTGTTGCATATTTTTCACCATGAACTTTTAGAGCTTAGAAAGCAACTTATAAGTTTTTGCAATTTAAATACAGTACATATCTATGATTACTCGTACATCAAATGTTAAAATAATCCTCGATGTATTAGCGTGGGGTAAATTGTTACTACACGATTGATATTAATATATAATTGAAATGACTTACCTATTAAACTATTATACCTATATTTTACTATCATAAAACAACCGAAATTATTGCCTTATAAATATATACAAAAACTTACATTAAAAAAGTATTTTCATTATAGATATAGTCTAAACATCAAGTCATTTATTTGTATGAGCATAAACTTATAATACTAATAATATCTAAACTAAAACATAACTAGTGGGGTGGGTGGCATCGTGCCTTAAGGCAAATTGCTGGAACTTCCCGTACCGTAACGAAACGTTCGAGGAATATTGAATGTTTTCAAATAGATTATTATAAATATTGTATTATTGTCTAATATTTATAATAATTATATAAACTGAATTGCAGAGTTGAAATTATTTGTTTAAAGTATATTAGAATTATAGTCAGAATTAAAAATAAAATCTGAATTATTTTCGATATACAAAAAATTAAAAAAAAAAAAAAAAAAAAAAAAAAAAAAAAAAAAAAAAAAAAGTGATACAAAATTTTTTTTTCCAAAATTAATTATTTTGTTAAGACAAGCAGAAAGTTCTTTGAATCAATTGAATCGGACGCTTAGTTCTCTCAAAAACTGCCATTTTTTGTACATTTAGCTCTGTATCTCCGAAATGGCTGGGCCTGCCTTTGCGAAAAACTAATAACCTTTTTTCCCAATCATTACTAATGGAATGTTTTTTAGATCATTCAAATCGGATGCTCCGTTCTCTCAAAAACTCGATTTCTATTTTCTGCACTCTTTGCTCCTCATCTCCGTAACTGCTGGACCTGTCTTTGCCAAAAACTAATCAGCTCTTCTCCTTATTAATAGGAATCGAATGTTTTTTAAACCATTCAAATCGGTTGATCCGTACGCCCGAAAACGTGGACGAAAATTTGTATCCATACATACATACACACACACACACACACACACATACACACACACACACACATCCATTTTTTCTGAGGTATGCCAAAACGTTCAGAAACCTTCAAAACGTCGAGAAATGTAAAAATTTTCAATTCCGATTTTCGGCCCATTACAATAACTTACCCTACGGGAAGTTAAAAAAGCGTCCCTATACATTCAAAATTTAAAACTACTATTTTTTATAAACTATTCATGGTAATAATTAAAATAATTGAGATTCTGTTTTGGGACAATATTGAAACAATGCTTCTGCATCTGACCCGAGACAATTAATATAAATCATCACATACATATATATATATATATATATATATATATATATATATATATATATTAAAGTTTTAGCACTTAATCTTAAATCTGAACGGATTGCCTAGAACGCAGTCAGTTCATTTAAATGTCATGGCTTAGATTATGTTGAGTTAGTTGTCTTTCATTAATACGATGCATGTTTAAATATAAGAGATTTTATAATACAAGAGAAATACAAGAGGCCAATCGCTTAGTGTTTGCGGGATAAATTAAAAAAAAAACATTATTTTTCACATGGGCAGTTATACGTTGCCTGTTCACGAGTTGGGAAACCATCCGCTTTGTTTGTGTTAACGACAGACCAAAAAACAAAAAATGTAGTTTACCAAAAGACTCATCAATGAAACAGATAATTTGCAGATTCACTTTCATTTACTTAGAGAAGTTCAACTCATTTTTGTAATCAAAATAAATTCAATCCTGTTATGTAAAGAAATCTAATTTTTCCTTTTCAAATATAAAACAAACAAAAAAAATTCTTCATCTTTCTCACGAAACCATCTGGTGGCGAAACGGTCGGGTTTGCTAGTATATATATATATATCTTGATAGTTTTTTCGACGTTGAAACATATTTCAAAGTAACTAGCAGCCCATTCGTCGAAATAAAAAAGGTATAAAGTATAAAAACTTTTATTTATACGTTTCGACACAAGATGCGTGTCATCATTCAGCAACACAGGACAAAAACACCCAACAAAAATTTATTTTAAAAAATTAAACTTAATAACATATTAGAGAAAAACATTTTTTTAGAAAAAAATATGAAAACTAAAAGATTTGAAAACTAATTTGACTAAAAGTTATGAAATACATAATTGTGAAGCGAGAAACACGCCCATACCGAGCATCCAGACTCGACTGATATACGTATTTTATAATTATAAGTATATAATTATAAGTTTTTTATACTTTATACCTTTTTTATTTCGACGAATGGGCTGCTAGTTACTTTGAAATATATATATATATATAATATATATATATATACTGAAATTAAATTGTTACTATACTGTAAATAGTTCCAAATTAGAATACAAAATTAGTTTAAAAAAATCACAAATTCTCACTTAAGCCACACAAAAAATACAAACATAAAAATAATGTAATTTTCGAAATAAATTAACTGAAAAGTTTTATGTTATGATAATGATGATACTTTCAGTAATAATTTTTGAAAATTCCTGAAGTGCTATATAGAAAGTTTTCACATCAAATGACGAATATTTTTTAAGAATTTTAAATAACAAAAAGCAAAGATTTCAGATTACCATTTGCCATATTGCTTTTGTATTGTAGTATTTAATAATACTGATAAAGATAGGTCACAATAAGGGCCCTATTATCACTTATTATGTTACAATTATCATTCAAAAAAAGATGTTTTTGGGGTTTGTTGAAACTACAATGTTTCAGTTTTGGAAATATATTTTTGGACTTAAATACTAAACATTTATTAATGAAAGCTTGTGTATATGTGTCATCATATTTCAATTTTTTCATTCTCTTCAAAATTTTGATCGGCAACACAAAATACCTTATCTTTTACTTGTCTTTTGCTTTCGGCAAAAAAGTGTCCAATGATTTATGACTGGAGGGACATTTTATTTCAATCATTGCATTCCTAGTAACTTCATCAGGAGATGCTGCGTAAACTGGATGGCTAGGTACAAAACTAGCTGTAAGTGGAATTCTGTCTTAAGGCAATTAAGGCATCGTGCCTTAAGGCAAATTGCTGGAACTTCCCGTACCAAATTTTTTTTTTTAAAAACGATTAAGATTTTTGAAAAAAAAATTACTTCGAAAAAATAAGATTTTTGAGAAGCTATATATTGGACAAAAAATTACTTTTTTTTGAAAAAAAAATTTTTTTTAGAAAAATATTTTTTTTTTTTTTTTTTTTTTGAAAAAAACAAAGTTTTATTTTATTTTGACATATTTTGGAAGATCTAAACTTTTTTTTAAAGCAATCGTACTGCTTTTAACTGCATAAAGACGAAATATCAAAGCGCCGCGTCGCCGTCTAACGCGTAAACATTGGTACGGAACCCATAGGAATGTAAAACAAATTTATACTTATTGTTAAAATCTCTATATAAAATATCTGATAATTTGATGTGCATATGTCTAATGATCATTTTTGACCGCCAAATGGCATTTTTTTTTACTTTTTTCATCAGAATCCGAAACCGTTAGACCTGCCTTCATGAAAATTTATCGATTATTCATCTTGTCAATACAAGTGAAATGCTTTTGAATTATTCAAATCGGACGCTCCGTTCTCTTAAAAACTGAGTTACCGTTTTCGGCACTTTTTGCCCGTATCTTTGGAACGGCTAGACCTTTTTTTTTTTTTTTTTTATAGAGGTGCGAAAAAAAATCTTCATAAGACACCGCCATCGTTGATACTCCACTGTCCATCCTACAGCAGACAACGACGGACGGCAGTGTGGAGATTTTTACCCACTAAAAAAAACACTCCTCTCCCCTCTCCCCGCAGATGGTACGGCGAGGACTGGATTGGAACCGCGTTAGCATTACATCAATCCAGTCCGTGCTGCGCCTTGCGACGCCTGTTTTCGACTACTGGTCCCTTTCTCCGGTTTTAGCCTTCAAAAGATGCTGTGCATAAGCTGCTACAGCTGACCAGTTTTCTTCTTGTTTCAGCATATAGGTCACAAGACTTGAGGGGGTGAGCCTGGTGCCTATAATGTGCTCGGCGTTGTTGCGATATTCCTTCCACCGAGCACATTCAAAAAACGTGTGCTCAGCGTCGTCGATTTTTTCTGGACAGTATTTGCACATTGGCGTGCTATGCAGGCCCATCTTAAAAAGATACGCATTAAACTGTCCATGTCCTGTCAGTAGCTGGGTCAAAAAGAAATCTGTGTCGCCGTATTTTCGAGAGAGCCAGGCGCTAATGTTCGGGATCAGGCGCGCCGTCCATCTGCCCGTCTCTCCTGACGTCCACCGATCTTGCCACTCTTGTAACGTTTCATTTTTAATTCTCGACCTTGTTTCTGTGGAATTTTCGCCACCTAATTTAGCGTCGTAGAGTTTACTCTCTCGAAAGCTAGCAAGTCAATCGGTGTGGCTCCTGCTATTACCAGTACGGCTGCTTCTGAGACCGTGCGATAGGCACAGGTAACTCTCAGAGCTCCTCGTCTTTGCACTGCCGATATTTTGCGCCGATAAGTCTTTTGCTTGAGGATATCCGCCCATATTTCCGCTCCGTATAGCAATACAGAATGGACTACCTCAAGCAAGACTCGTCGCTTTCGGGTTCGTGGTCCCATGCAGTTAGCCATAATCCTTGACAGGTTGGATACTGTCTTGCTAGCTTTTATGCATGCACTATCGAGATGTTCACGGAAGGATAGCTTCTCATCTATCATTACTCCCAGGTAGCGCAAGGCCCTTGTCGACGTCAAAGTTGTCTCTCCCACGTCTACGGTGAATGGTTTTGGAAACCATTTTTGTCGGGTCAAGACAACCATCTCCGTTTTTTGTTTGGCGAGTTTTAGGTGGTGTTTCTCAAGCCAGGTCTTATGGTGTCGACGGTCTCTCGAACGAGTAGTTCAGCCTCCTCAATGCTGTCCACTACGATTGTGGCTGCGACGTCGTCCGCAAAGCCCGTGAGTTCCACCTGCTTCGGCAAGGGAATCTCCAGGAGCTCGTCGTAGACAGCGTTCCACAAATCGGCTCCTAAGATTGAGCCTTGAGGTACCCCAGCTGTAACCTCGTGTTCTTGATGACCTTCCGTCGTTTCCACTATCAACGTTCTCCCATCGAGGTAGTCGTCTATTAATCCTAGATTTTCTGGCTTTACGTCAAAATTATGCTCTAGCGCGTGTAAAATATCCTCCCAATTCGCACTGTTAAACGCGTTTTAACGTCGAATGTGAGAAGGAGACACACTTTACGAGCTTTAAGACTACCACGCCATGCTTCTCTTGCTGTTTCCGTTACCTTCCTAATCGCGCCGATCGTCGATCGTCCTTTTTGAAATCCGTGTTGGTTCTTAGCAAAACCTCCGGCGCATTCAATGTCGTTGCGCAATCTGCATTGAATAAGTTTCTCAAGCAGTTTTCCGGCGATGTCTAACATGCAGAGTGGTCGAAACGACGATGGCGTTACAGGGGTTCCCTTACCTTTGTCTATTAGGACCAATCTTGCCGCTTCCAGACCGTAGGAAAGGTTCCGGTCGCCAGACAGGCATTGTAGGCGTTCAGAGGAATATACGGAAATTCCAAGGCTACAATCTTGATCACTGAGGCTGGGATGCCATCAGGGCCTGGGTGCTTTGCCAGTTTTTATGGTTTTCGCCGCATCTTGGAGTTCCTTGACAGTGAAGGCGTAGTTTCACTGTTTTCCACGTATTGTCTCCTTTTCCGTGGCGGATGTTTAGGGAATAGTTCCGCTACGATAGAATTCATCAGAGCAGGAGATTTCGGTGCTTCTGGTAAAGCTCTACCAAGTCGTTTTGTAACGATTTGATAGGCTTTGCCCCAGAGATCCTTGTCAAGGTCATTGCAGATTTCCTTTCACAATCCGGCTTTAGCTGCTTTTATGGCTTTATTTAGGCTTTTTTTGCCTGTTTGTACTCGTTTGTATACCTATCTGTGTAGGGGGAGCGTTTTGCAGCTCTTGTGGCGCGGCGACGTAATGCGTGGCATCTTTTCCGTAGTTCTGCTATCTCTGATGACCACCAAATGCTGGACTGTGCACACGCTGATTTTTGGTCGTGGCATAGAGGCGTTACATGAGGTTGACAATAGCGTTCATATTTTAAGAACCGTTTCTCCGTTTCTTCTGCGGGCTTAGTTTTGGATCATCTTGGAGAGTAGATGCGTTTTGCTCGAGGGCTGCTCGCAACGCTTCCTGGTCAAGCTTCTTGGCATTCCACCTTCGTTTGCAAAAGTTGCTTGGTCGAGTCGGACCGGATCCAATACTAAATGTCACATGTTGGTGATCACTGCCACTATACTCTTCAGATACAGTCCAGTCTCCAATCATGTTCGCCGTCCTTGGAGTGGCAAACGTAATGTCGAGAATAGATTCCTGATACCCTGGCTTTATTCTGAATATTCATATATTGCTCGCAGATAAGGCAGATATCGATCTAATCTTCAAAGATACGTTGGCGCAGTAGATTCTGCGCCAAGGCACATCTGTTCAGATTACCTTGTAGAAATCGCGTCATTTCTGTTCTCTCGTGGCTTCGGCAAGTGCTACACGGAATGCTTTACAGGTACCGGATCCGGCGACATGGCTCACGCTGTTTCGATCTTCTTTGTCTACTGTACATAGAAAGCATTTTGGCTTTTCTGCGCAGTCTACAGACTTGTGATTTTCCCCGCCGCATTTGTAGCAACACTTGCTTCTGTCTGGTCCCCCGCATTTATGCGTTTGGTGTCCGAAACCGAGGCATCTAAAGCAGCGGGCTACTTTAACAACTGGGCGAATGCGACAGTTAACCCACCCAATTCTTATGCGGGCCCCATTTAGGGCTTTGATTGCATTAGCCTCGTCTATCTCACAGAAGGCCGCTCGTTGTCCTCTTGATGTGACTTTGGTCAAGTTCACTCGTCGTATTTCCAGTTTTGTCGTAAAGTCCCGAATGAGTGCTTTGCGAACGTCATTTTCGGTAGAGACACCATCAAGTTAATAAATCCTTGGACGCATAATTTGTACTCTCAATTCTCTCTCCAGAACTTCAATTACATCATTTTCTAGTTTCTTTCCTCATTTTTTATTATTAACTTCCCGTAGGGTAAGTTATAGTAATCGCAAAAAAATCGAAAATGAAAATTTTTATATATCTTTACGTTTCAGAGGTTTCTGAACATTTTGGCATACCTTAGAAAAAATGGATGTATGTGTGTGTGTGTGTGTGTGTGTGTGTGTATGTATGTATGTATGTGCGTGTGGTATGTATGTGCGATACAAATTTTCGTCGACGATTTCGGAACACGGATAAACCGATTTGAATAATTCAAAAAACATTCGATTCGTATTAATAAGGAGACGTGCTGATTAGTCTTTGGCGAAGGCAGGTCTAGCCGTTCCAAAGATACGGGGCAAAAAGTGCCGAAAACGGTAACTCAGTTTTTAAGAGAACGGAGCGTCCGATTTGAATAATTCAAAAAACATTTCACTTGTATTGACAAGATGAATAATCGATAAAATTTTCATGAAGGCAGGTCTAACGGTTTCGGAGATCTGATGAAAAAAGTAAAAAAAAATGCCATTTGGCGGTCAAAAATGATCATTAGACATATGCACATCAAATTATCAGATATTTTATAGAGATTTTAACAATAAGTATTAATTTGTTTTACATTCCTATGGGTTCCGTACCAATGTTTACGCGTTAGACGGCGACGCGGCGCTTTGATATTTCGTCTTTATGCAGATAAAGCAGTACGATTGCTTTAAAAAAAAGTTTAGATCTTCCAAAATATGTCAAAATAAAATAAAACTTTGTTTTTTTTCAAAAAAAAAAAAAATAAAAAAAAAATATTTTTCTAAAAAAATTTTTTTTTCAAAAAAAAGTAATTTTTGTCCAATATATAGTTTCTCAAAAATCTTATTTTTTCGAAGTAAATTTTTTTCAAAAATCTTAATCGTTTTTAAAAAAAAAAATTTGGTACGGGAAGTTCCAGCAATTTGCCTTAAGGCACGATGCCTTAATTGCCTTAAGACAGAATTCCACTTACAGCTAGTTTGCCTTGCTATTGATTATATTTGACTCATATCTACCCGTTAGTGTCCAACCGAATACCGTGTTTTGTAAAATAGGCTTAGCGGGACCTAGAATTATTCTTTCGTTACCGAGAATTTCGAAAACGTATCAACACCTATCAGCATATCTATTTCGCGAGGTATATCGAAGTTTGGATCCGAAAGAATTAATCCAATTGGCAGATTTAGTTTAGAAATTTGAATTTGCTGCGCAGGTAGTGGACTCGATATTTTCTCGAGCACAAATGCATTTATTTTTTTACAAATGTGTTATCTTCATTCAATATTTCTAAGTTTATAAAATTATTTGATTGCGTTGAAATCCCATCAACACCGTGCAGTTTAAGGCTCGTTGATTGAGATTTTACGCCCAATTTTTTAAATAGCGATTTTGATATTATATTAATTTCCGAACCTGAATCCAATATTGCTCGAATTTTAACACGGCTTCCTTTATTACTTTTCGCAAACAAATTTACTGTAGGTAAAAGTGCACACCCCGTCGCGAGATTTGTATTCATAACCATATTAGACGTTTTGCTAGCATTGTCGGGTTCGTCTATACCTGGCCGATTAATATTTATTTGCTTATCTTTATGGAGCAAACTATGATGTTTCTGAGAACATATCCCACATCTATACCTTTTAAAGCATTTATGTCGTAAATGTCCTCTTTGCAAACAATTAGAACATAATCCGTTGCCGCTAATAAAATTCTCCCGATCAAATAATGTCATAGAAAGAAATTTGGAGCAATTTACTAAATAATTGTTTAGTTGCATTTATTTAAGGCAGAGGTCGGCAACGCGGCGCCCGCGGGCGCCATGGCGCCCCCGATCAACTTTAGATGCGCTCTCGGTTAATGTAAATTTATGATAACTTTAGCATAAATCAATTTCACATTTTCCAAATATAGGCATATTGTTGAAAGTCTAAAAATAAATATAAAAAATTTTACTACTATATCATATTTAGTAGTTATAGACAAATTGGCAGAAGTTTTGTTCAAGATTTTAAGATTTCGCAGCACTAGAACCCGTTCTAGGATTTTTTATAAACCCATTCAAAGTTGCCGAAGATGATCTTCTGCAAAGTGTTTCAGTGCATTCCGAAATTAGTAATATCGAAGACGTGGAGTTAGAAATAATAAACTTGCAAAATGATATTATTTTAAAAGCACATAGTACTATTAAAATGTTTTGGAATTTAGTCGATAAAATAAGTATCCTATTTTAAGAAAACGCGCGCTAAAAATTTTCTCATATTGTGCAACAACATTAATCGCGAGTCTTTGTTTTCAAATATGAATTTAGATCACTGTTTATGGACAGGGAACTCTAATTATATTCTCGATCTTAAAAAAATAGCTGAAAATACGGACACACAAGTTTCACACTAAATTATATGTATAGAATTAGGTATTATTAAATCATACTCTTCTTTTATCGATGTACTGAATGTTCGTAATGTATATATTATACTATACTAAGAGAATAATGTTATGAAAAATCTTTTTTTTCATACCGATGCGCCCTCGGTAATTTTCAGATTTAGTTTTGCGCCCTTATCGGCAATCAGGTTGCCGACCCCTGATTTAAGGTATTTAAATTTATTCCTTGTGATATTTCTAACGCGGTTATTTGTTGGTCCAAAAATTAAAAAATTTCCAACACCGTCGGTAACTGTTTTTGGCATCTGCAACTATTAAATTTAACCCTAGTACTTATGTCAAATTTATTCAATAATAAAAAGACTAACAACTGATCCCAATTATCAACATTAGTGTTAATAGCCTTAAGCGAATTAATAATTTGCTGAGCGTTGTTAGAAAAAGATTTTATGTTTGATGAATTTAATTTAGACAGTGAAGGTAAATCTGTTAATGCTTGTAAATAGGAATAAGTAATTAGGCAAACATTCTCAAATTTCGCGCACAATAAATCTAACGCTATCTGGTAATTACTGTCACTCAACTGCAAATTATTAATTGCTTCTGCGGCTTCTCCGATCAAATGTCCTTTTAAATAATAAAATTTCTGTACGTTAGACAAACTATTATTATTGTGAATAGTTGCATAAAATAATTCTTTGAACCCTACCCAATTTTTGTACGATCCGTCAAATTTTGGTATCGAAATGTCGGGCAACTTTATTTCCGGTTCGCTATCTACATTTTTCTTATTAACGGGCTCTGAAATTGTGCTTAACAAACGTTCTAATTTAAAGATTACCTCTATATATAAATCATCGATCACTTGCGCTTCTGAAGTGTGCTCATCAGATAATTCATTAATTAAATCTTGTATATTTTCAAAATTAAAATAATCTTTTTCATGCCGCGTTTTTAAAACGTTTAATAAATTTGTAGGCTCTCCTTGAAGATCCCTACTCAAGGTTTTTTCAAATTTAATTTTATTATTTTGGCGTTTAGATAATAACTTTTTTAATTCTGCCATTTTGATTAAAGATCACGAAAACTCGAAAAATATTAAATAATAATTATAATTTAATACTTATGAAATAATTTTACCGAAATGTTATGGGACGCGTTAACTGTTACAATTGATTTTACTAAATTATGTATTATATATGGCAATTAAATGACATCTAATATTCAGACTAGTATCTCAAAATTTTCAATTCCAACATTTTCAACAATTATTCCAACAAAGCACCTGACAATCAAGGTAAAGAATAATAAAAATATTCACTAATACTATTGAATTATTAACAATATCCCTATGATAAGACTATTTCGGTCAAGACATTAATGTTGTATGCTCGACAAATGAAGCAAAATCCATAAAATATTATTCTGGTAAAACAGAAACAATAAGAAACAATAGAAATCTAGCAAATAAATCGACTTAGCTGATATTTCTCTGGAGGAGTGTCTATTTGCAGCATCCGACAACTAGTGGCCAAGATAAATCTGCTTCCAATGGTTGAATAAAACTTCCCGCAGGAACCAGCTATGTGTACGCAGTATTGTTAATAGTTCTAAACAATACGCAGCAGTCGTCCTTTGAGATCTTGAAGAGTTGTATTGAAATGCTATATTGGCTAGCAATTTGCTCCAGTCGGGTTCTCGAACGGACCGATTGTCTCAAATCCGTGATGACTTACAACAAACCACTACACGACTCAATGTAGCACCAGATCAAAATCACAAATCACAGTATATTATTTCACTTCGTAGTTTTTTATATTCGGATCAGATCGACAATTTATGATCTAAAATTTGGCTTAATGTAACCAATTTTGATCTAAAATTCGGCTCGAAATGGACCAATTATGGTGAGGATCACTTTGATTAATTTGATATTGAGTGGACTGTAAATTATAAATATTTCATCACCATAAGAAAATGTGAATAAAACCACTATTTAATTTATGACATATATTGAACTACACTCTACAACCTTCTTCTCTTATTACATTTGCTAGACTCACTTATTATTATATGTTACAGGTATTTATACTCATATAATTGTATCCCCTACCCCGAAGGGTCCCAGGTTAAATAAAAGCCCTGGTCAAATCTTGACCAGTGGTGATTAACTTGTTAATATATTAGTTCACGTAAGACTACTCCATGTCTCATTGACATTTCTAGTTTCCTATTTTGCTTATCATTATATTATATTTCATTTATTGACTATTTTATCTCTTTAGCAATGGATACACTTCTGACGGAGCACGTATTTTCAATGCATCTGACTAAAGAGGAACGAAAATCTAGAAATAGCAGAATTTTTGAGACTCCAATGAGTCAAAATGAACGTCCACAGCCACGATGTCTTGAGGAAAGATTAAGATTGAGACACGGAGAAAGATTTGATCCTTTGCCGACAGTTCTTATGAGGAAGTATATAAGTAAGGAAGGATAATTAATATAAATAACTAGTTGTAACTCTTGTTTAGAGATTATATATAAGTATAATAATTGTTTTGTTTGTTTAGGCTATGCTAGAAAGAATGTGCAGCCTAAATTGACAAAAGAGGCTGCTGAGGAAATAAAAAGATTCTATTTGGGTCTGAGACAAGTTCCTCAGGGTGCTGATAGTATGCCAGTTACACCCAGGTGAATAATTAAATTGATATAATCATTAATAACATTAATTAAAAACTAACTAATATATATTATATGTATTATATATCATATAAATGTATTTATATATCATATATTTTTAAAATTCATATATAATAAATAAATAAAGTAATTATAGATGACAATTTGAATTTAAAACAAACACTGTTCTTATTTTATTTATTATTTACTAAAATCAAGTTATCAGTGAAGTCCTTGAGTTGTTAGTAAATATCAATAATAATATTATTATTTCCTTAATTTTTTATTATACTTTGTCTTTAGGCAACTTGAAGCTCTCATTCGGCTAACACAAGCAAGAGCAAGAGTGGATCTATCGCCTGAAGCAAAGGTAGAACATGCAAGAGATGTTATCGAGTTAACAAAAATTTGTCATTCTGATTTATTCTGCGATGGTATTGGAACTTTTGATGTCAACAGAGGGAGAATACCTTTGAGCAACATGAGCCAAAATTCAAAGGTAAAAGGAAATGACCAGTATAACAAAACTATTATATATATATATAAATATATATATATATATATATATATATATATATATATTAACAAAGTCTAATAATCGGGCATAACATCAATAAAAAACATGAATTTCTTTCAAAAATTTATTTTAAATCCATACGTTTCGGCTATAATCCTAGCCTTCATTCAGTGGAAACTAAAATTAAAATTAAAAACTAAAACAATTGAATTGGAGTGAAAAGAAAAATAAAATAGTAATTAGTACTTACAATTAGTTGATCTTAGTGTTAATTTGGAAAACTTTAATAATCCATGGTATTAGGATATGGTAATGCACTACACTATGTATTATAAACATTAACTTGAAATTACACAATATTTTCACAAAATACTGATTTGAAAAAATCACAAATGGATAGTGTGTTATTCGTAGACTGGTTGAAGATGTAATGGAGAAAGACATTTTTTTAAAAAATATTTTTACCAAGATTCTGCACATGTGTGGAACGAATTGTAAAACCTTTGCGCGAACGCTTTTATTGTTTTGTAAGAAATTTGGAAATGTTATCTAAATAGAAGAGATTTGTGTCGCACAGCGTGTTGAGTTCATTCCGTTTATTTATTGTCTTATTGTTATAAATAGTTAAAAAAGATCCCTCTATAATTCTTCGTTTAAATAAATTTTGTTCAAATTGTAGTACAGTCGGATTAGAAAAGTCCATATTGTGTTTTAAAGTGTATATATGGTCTGCAAGAACTGTTTTAAATTGTTTGGGGTTTTTTGAATTGTTTTTATGTTGTTGTAACCGTTTATTGAGATTCTGGCTAGTTTCTCCTATGTAAATTAAATTACAGTCTAAACAATTTATTTGATAGACGAGATTTCTGAGTCGTTCAATATTAAATGGGGTTTTTGTCTTGGTAAAAATAGTGCTAGTAGTTGTACTAAAATTGGTAACAAGTCGAAGTCCAGATTTATAAAAAAGTTTTTTCCAAGGAACATACAATTCTTTAATGTATGGCAAACATATTACACCGGAATAAGTTTCTGAGTCAGGTAAATCGTTATGTACTGTGCAATTGTCCATTTTATTCAAAAGGTACGTTCGTCTGTTACTAGTTACGGAATTTATAAGTTTTAGGGGATAAGAGTTATCTGTTAAAATTTTTGTAATTAATTTGATGTTGTTGTCCCAAAATGTTTTGTCCGATAGAAGTATTGCGTGGTCCGTTAGATTTATTATAGTACCTATTTTCATTTTGAGTGGATGATAAGAAAAGTAATTAAGGTAGCGTCCGGAGTTAGTAGGTTTTTGGAACCAATTTGTTATTAGTTTGTTATCTGTAGTACGAATAAGTTTTATGTCTAAGAAACTTATCGAGTTCATTGTCTCCAATTCCACTGTAAATTTTAATTTTTTATTGACGTTATTAAATTGATCAATTATCATAGTGACATCATCACTAGGGATACAAGTGATAATGTCATCTACATAACGGTAATAAAAAATATGTTTATTGTAATTTTTGAAAATTGTATTTTCAAGGAGTTGTAAGGATATTTCTGCTAGAGATGGACTTGCTGGGGACCCCATTGGCGCCCCAAAAATTTGATAATAGAAAGAGCCATTGAATTCAAAATAAGTATTAGAGACAATGAACTTGACGGTTTCCCTGAACCAGTGTAAAGATAAAGAAGTCAACGGGGAAATTTCATTCCATCGGATTGTTATTGCGTCTAAAATAAGGTCTAGGGGTACATTAGTAAAAAGTGAGACTACGTCTAAGCTAATTAGTTTGTAGTTGTCTGGTATATAATTTATCTTGTGTTTTAAGTCAGTAACGAGTTCATAAGAATTTTTTATGTAGTGTGGTGATTGTTTTGTTATTGTAGTTAAAATGTTACTTATGTATTTTGAGAGTTTATATAGGGGAGTATTAATGTCGGAAACTATTGGTCTAAGAGGTAAATTATTTTTGTGGACTTTGGGAAGGCCATAAAGTCTGGGAAAATATGGGTGTAAATTTTTCAGGTCAGAAGTTATCTCTTTTGTTAGTTGTTTGTTTGTTGTAAGTTTGTCTAAAAATTTATGGCACGTGCGGTTTATGTAGTCAGTTGGATCGTTATTGGTAATTTTGTAAGTATTAGTGTCAAGTAATAATTCAGATATTTTATTTATATAGTCTTGCTTGTCTATGATAACAGTGATGTTGCCTTTATCCGCTTTAGTGACCACTATATCCGGATGATTTTTGAGAAATATTTTGCATGCTTTAAGGTCTCTAAGAATATTATCGTAAGTTGTATTTTTAGTATTGAAGGAATTAATATGTTGGATGAATTTTTTACAAAAAAGAGACCTTAAAGCATGCAAAATATTTCTCAAAAATCATCCGGATATAGTGGTCACTAAAGCGGATAAAGGCAACATCACTGTTATCATAGACAAGCAAGACTATATAAATAAAATATCTGAATTATTACTTGACACTAATACTTACAAAATTACCAATAACGATCCAACTGACTACATAAACCGCACGTGCCATAAATTTTTAGACAAACTTACAACAAACAAACAACTAACAAAAGAGATAACTTCTGACCTGAAAAATTTACACCCATATTTTCCCAGACTTTATGGCCTTCCCAAAGTCCACAAAAATAATTTACCTCTTAGACCAATAGTTTCCGACATTAATACTCCCCTATATAAACTCTCAAAATACATAAGTAACATTTTAACTACAATAACAAAACAATCACCACACTACATAAAAAATTCTTATGAACTCGTTACTGACTTAAAACACAAGATAAATTATATACCAGACAACTACAAACTAATTAGCTTAGACGTAGTCTCACTTTTTACTAATGTACCCCTAGACCTTATTTTAGACGCAATAACAATCCGATGGAATGAAATTTCCCCGTTGACTTCTTTATCTTTACACTGGTTCAGGGAAACCGTCAAGTTCATTGTCTCTAATACTTATTTTGAATTCAATGGCTCTTTCTATTATCAAATTTTTGGGGCGCCAATGGGGTCCCCAGCAAGTCCATCTCTAGCAGAAATATCCTTACAACTCCTTGAAAATACAATTTTCAAAAATTACAATAAACATATTTTTTATTACCGTTATGTAGATGACATTATCACTTGTATCCCTAGTGATGATGTCACTATGATAATTGATCAATTTAATAACGTCAATAAAAAATTAAAATTTACAGTGGAATTGGAGACAATGAACTCGATAAGTTTCTTAGACATAAAACTTATTCGTACTACAGATAACAAACTAATAACAAATTGGTTCCAAAAACCTACTAACTCCGGACGCTACCTTAATTACTTTTCTTATCATCCACTCAAAATGAAAATAGGTACTATAATAAATCTAACGGACCACGCAATACTTCTATCGGACAAAACATTTTGGGACAACAACATCAAATTAATTACAAAAATTTTAACAGATAACTCTTATCCCCTAAAACTTATAAATTCCGTAACTAGTAACAGACGAACGTACCTTTTGAATAAAATGGACAATTGCACAGTACATAACGATTTACCTGACTCAGAAACTTATTCCGGTGTAATATGTTTGCCATACATTAAAGAATTGTATGTTCCTTGGAAAAAACTTTTTTATAAATCTGGACTTCGACTTGTTACCAATTTTAGTACAACTACTAGCACTATTTTTACCAAGACAAAAACCCCATTTAATATTGAACGACTCAGAAATCTCGTCTATCAAATAAATTGTTTAGACTGTAATTTAATTTACATAGGAGAAACTAGCCAGAATCTCAATAAACGGTTACAACAACATAAAAACAATTCAAAAAACCCCAAACAATTTAAAACAGTTCTTGCAGACCATATATACACTTTAAAACACAATATGGACTTTTCTAATCCGACTGTACTACAATTTGAACAAAATTTATTTAAACGAAGAATTATAGAGGGATCTTTTTTAACTATTTATAACAATAAGACAATAAATAAACGGAATGAACTCAACACGCTGTGCGACACAAATCTCTTCTATTTAGATAACATTTCCAAATTTCTTACAAAACAATAAAAGCGTTCGCGCAAAGGTTTTACAATTCGTTCCACACATGTGCAGAATCTTGGTAAAAATATTTTTTAAAAAAATGTCTTTCTCCATTACATCTTCAACCAGTCTACGAATAACACACTATCCATTTGTGATTTTTTCAAATCAGTATTTTGTGAAAATATTGTGTAATTTCAAGTTAATGTTTATAATACATAGTGTAGTGCATTACCATATCCTAATACCATGGATTATTAAAGTTTTCCAAATTAACACTAAGATCAACTAATTGTAAGTACTAATTACTATTTTATTTTTCTTTTCACTCCAATTCAATTGTTTTAGTTTTTAATTTTAATTTTAGTTTCCACTGAATGAAGGCTAGGATTATAGCCGAAACGTATGGATTTAAAATAAATTTTTGAAAGAAATTCATGTTTTTTATTGATGTTATGCCCGATTATTAGACTTTGTTAATACATATGTCAACATCAAATTCAGAATCATACAAAATATATATATATATATATATATATATATATATTATAATCTTATATATAAAAATGAAGCTCTCTTTCAAATGTCCGAATAAAACTCGAAAACGGCAGAATCGATTTGGCCAGTCTTAGTCTTGAAAAATTCGTGCTAATCCAGAGAAAGTCCAAAAGGTGAGAAATTATTTCAAATCCGCGTAGAAACTTTACATTTATAATTTGAAAATTTTTGTAGAAGCGTAATTTAAATAAAACAATGGACGGTGGCAATTTTGTGAAATGTCAAACGCTTTTGACAGATGATGTTCAATTACGTTTCATAAGATGTTTTACGTGAATATTATTTAATTATGATTAAATTGCAATAAGTAGTTTTGTTTGTAGTTTTATTTATATACAAAAACGTTAGTAAACGGGCCGCAAGTGTTACTAGAGACTCAAAATATCATCTTTTTTGATATGTTAATATGAAAATGCACTTTTTGGCATATTTTTCTCAAACACGATGCTCTGAAAGATCTCATTTGTATAATTGTATACTCATTGGTATTTATAAAATATTTTCTAGGTAATATTATTTTTTATTTATGTTATTTAAATTCAGAACCTAAATTTGGTATCGATCAAATGGACATTTTGTCGAATAACATTTTTCCAGTTATAATTTCCCAGAATTTATCGCAGAATAGATAGTAATATATGAAGGTCCGGGATTAAAAAGGTCCACCACCGATGTGCCAAAAATCAGTAAAGTTAAGCATTGTTTAACAACAATATTTGAAAGTAGAGGAAAAAAGATGATAGCCAGCTACAACCTTGATTTGAGAACGATAATCTTTGAAATGGGGGAGATAAACGGTAATCTTTGAAAATCCATAATAAAAGTATTTTCTTCCGTTGGTAGTTTTAGCATTAGTTAAAAATGTTATTATTTTGTAAAATACCTTTAAAATTATAATAAGGCTTTAAACCTTTTGCCACCTGCCCGTTACAAGTTACCCCGCATATAGGATAAAAAGGTCTAGGTAACAAATTTTTGAAAGACGTCAAAAAAGCACATTTCTACAATGATGAAGCAGTTTACTGAACGTAGTCAGATAATTGTTCATTTGATATGTGTTATTTGTTGTGATATAATTGTTATGGTTTTCACAATATAGTTTATATTTGCTCAAAGTCAAATTGGACCTTTGTGTTTCGCCCTGCTCTACATATATACTTTTTATTAAATTTACTTTAATTCATCGAATGTAACTTAAAACTTTTCAAAAAGCAGGTCAAAGAAGAAATACTTAATTCATTTTTTATCTCTCCTTGCAAAAATTTGAAAATTTTGTATAAGCTCAGTAGTATTATTTACAATTATACACAAAATCCAGAATCCAAAAAGAATCTGAAAAACTTGAAACGTAATTAACAAGCCGAAAGACCAAAAAGACTCGGATTGGATTATACAATGTTTTCTATAGAAAGTGTATAAAACTTGCAGTTGGATTGTATTGACAAAATATAGACAAACTAATGGGGTTTATTGTTTTTATAATACCTCATTGTATATAGCATTCAAACAACACACATCCTTATGCACTTAAAGTATTAATATTTTTGATTCTCTAGAAATGGTTTAGAATATACCTTATTTAGCAAAACAACGTTTGCCGGGTCAGCTAGTATATAATAAAGATATATATAATATATATCTTTATTATATACTAGCTGACCCGGCAAACGTTGTTTTGCTAAATAAGGTATATTCTAAACCATTTCTAGAGAATCAAAAATATTCTCAATATATAATATATTTAATTAGATATATATATATATATATATATATATATATATATAAATATAAATATATATGATAAATATATATTATATAATTAGATGCATGTTGCAAGAATTGCTGCTTTTTGTCAAATATTAAAATATGATTGTTAAAATTGTTTCAATTTAGAAATTACTTTTATTTTTTGAATTTTAAAAGAATTTGTAATTGTAAAACTTATAATTTTAAAGTATTTTTTTCTAATTTTTCATTACCTTTTTTAGATCAAACGGTTTTTATCTTTAATTCAAAAAAGATCAGAAGTGACAATGAAGACAATTTTCACTCTGAATGAATTGAAAGAGACGGCTAGCAATGGTGGTCTGGTGCATCACGGATTTGGGTCAGATTTTAGAGAAATGATAGACAAACTGAACGAACAGGGTTGCCTTTTGAAGAAAGGACCGAAACTTTATCAACTGCTGGTTGTTTGAGTGAAGTAATTGTTTAAGTAATTTAAATTCAATTGGTAAAAATATTAATGCATATATTTTTATACCTTTGTAGAGAGTAATATTTATGTATTGTTTATAATATATTATGAACTGTATTATAAACATTATAGTGATTAATAATTTATCAACTGTTATTTAAAGAAGAGATTTTCGTATAGAAAAAGTTTAAAAATAATGTTCAGGCTGTAATGAAAATATTTGATTATTTATACTGTTTATTATCTCATATATATATATATATATATATATATATATATATATATATAAAATATATTTTGTATGATTCTGAATTTGATGTTGACATATGTATTAACAAAGTCTAATAATCGGGCATAACATCAATAAAAAACATTTTTTATTGATGTTATGCCCGATTATTAGACTTTGTTAATAAATATATATATATATATATATATATATATATATATTTTATTTATTTATATTTATTTATTTCAGCCTAAGGGCCTAGAAATACATCATTATACCAATAATACCTTAAACCTACTTTATATACAAAAAATAAAAATAAACAGAAAAGTCTAATCAGTGGTTTCTAATAACTATAACGTTCTGGACTGGTTGCCCAAGTAACTCCTTTTCCATTGCTTTCTTCATGCGTTTGATTGTTTTCAACCAGCCTAGACTTTCCTTATATCATTTTTGCCACAGAGAACGTCTTCTATAGAACTGTTTGTTCTCTCTAACATCGCGCATCTTTCCTTCCAATGCTCAACCGTGTCCTCCTCCTTCCCGCACAGCTCACACCTTCGTTCTTCAGGGTTCAGCCAGTGTTTGTTGTTTTTCTCCATGGTGCCACATCTATACCGCGCAATAATCTCTGATCGCTCTCTGATAAATAAATAAATATATATATATACATAGCTGGGCATTAACTCGTTAATCCGTTAATCGTTAATTAACGAAGTTAACATTTTGATTAACGGATTAACTTTTAAGTTAACTTTTAAAAATGTTAACGGACACGTTAACTTCCGTTAAAATGCCAGAAGTCCGTTAATCGTTAATCCAATGCCTACTATTTACCGCACGGCACCGCAAGATTTGGACCACTCCTGAATGCCGCGGCATTTCACCCAAAGTTTCGGTTAATGTGGCTGGAAACGTATGACAGCAGTAGAGTGGATGCAGTAAGAAAATGCATGGATAAAAGGTAGAAGGTGCCTTACGGCAAAAAGCAGCGGAAAATTCGAAGGACAGAGGTAGTTTAAGTGACGGAGGGAGCAATGCGAGTAACAACGATGATGACGAGGAGGAAGACTTTTTCAATTCTGTCACTCAGTCTATAGAAAAACCAAGGACCTCCAACTCTTTGGAGAATAAAGCGCAAAGTCTCGTTAAAATGTGGCTGGACATGAAATCAAAAGACTCGTTCAACGATGCTGCATTCCTCGGGGAACAGATATTCATAAATCTATTTATTAAATACAATACTGCTATACCCTCAAGCGCTGCAGTTGAACGTTTGTTTTTCACGGGTAAAGACATTTTGACACCAAAACGAGCCACGCTTTCAGACAAGAACTTCAACATGTTAATGTTCATGAAGGGGATAAATGCACCTTATGCCCGACGCTTAACCCGTCGCGCGTTTCCTATTTTTCGCAAAAAAAACTCTTTCCTTTATTTAGAAAATTAGTTGTTATTGGTATTTAGCCTTGAGGCAAGTTACATGAACTTCCCTATATGAATTAATTTATAAGTGATTAAAAGTATTCCGAGTGGATTTTTTACACATAATTGAAAGCGAACGAATACGTTAACTCGGAGTATTTTCTAAAAGCAAATTTTCACTAATCAATAATTTTTATAATTGAACCAGTTTTCGTAGAATGTTAACGGTTTAGTATGTTTATTAAGACCAAGTAATCTATCGTTATACAAAGTAAATCATCTACTTTTAATTTAACAAACGTCAACAAAACTACTCATTTTCTCAAACTTTGATGAATTTTTAAAATCAAACTACTTGTCGTAAGGCTGTAATATTTCGGTAAGTTTTATAAGACCATGATATACATCGCCAAAGAAAGTTTCAGAACAATCGGCCTAAATTTTGTTTTCAACAGTTAATTACAAGGAAACGGCTCGGTAGATTTTCATCTAAAACTAATCAGTATTATTCCCAACTAATATATTTCGTACAGTTTTTTATTTTTTAAAATTGATTCGGTAGAATGTGCTTAAATGTAGACGAAAAGTTTAACACTCTTTTTCAAATTACAAAGAAACGGCTCGGCAGATCGTCTCACAAAACTGACAAACTATAGTGCTCATTGAGATACATCGAATGACTTTTAAATTTCTGAAATCGGTTCAGGCATTTTTGAGCAAACGTCGATGAAAAGTCTAATTTTAACAAATGCCAAAAAAACGATACCAATATTTGCAAACTTTGACGAATTTTTAAAGCTAAACGAGTTGTCGTAGGGCGGTAATATTTTAGTATGATCAGAAGACTATGATATCTACCGTCAAAAAATCATAAAAATCGTTGGATTTTTTTTAAAAAAAACTTCATTACAAGAAAACGGCTTGGCCGATCTTTATTTCAGAATCGATTCAGAATTGCGGGCTAAAACGTGGACGAAAAATTTTTCACTTTTCTGCTATTTACAAAAAAAAACAGCTCGGCAGATCGTCGCACAAAACCGACAAACGATAATCCTCATCGAGATACATCGATTGGCTTTTAAATTTTTGAAATTGGTCGAATCGTTTTTGAGAGAACGTCGATTTACGGCAAAAAATCTGTTCACATACACGCACACACACACACACACACACATATACTTTTTCCAAACTTGGACTCATTCGATTCAGAATGGCTTGAAACGTCGAGAAAACATAAAAATTAGCGAATCGGATTTTTTTATGAAAACATAAAATTCTCCTTCGGGAAGTTAAAAATTCTTGTAAAAACAATATGCAATCATAAAAACGGAAAGTTGACCAATAGCGTTATTATCACGGTGTGTGCATAAAGCGCGTCGCGAAATTATTTACCCTTCCCATCACCCTTGTCAGCAAAAGTAAGCAAAGCTCTTACCCCCTACCCCCATGCTTACGTAAACATTTTGCAATTAATGTAAAAAAATAAAAATACTACTTATGACGTTATCATCATCCAGACTCCCCTGCCCCCCATGTCAACCCAAAATAAGCAAATCAACAACCCTCCTTGCCACCCTATAGTGCTTACGTAATACTTGAACGGCCCCATATTAACGGATTAACGATTAACGTTAACTTGCGTTAATTCTTCCAAAATGTAACGCTTTAACGTTTAACGAAGCTAACTTTTTTTGTAGCGGATTAACGATTAACGAAGTTAACTATTTGATTAACGGTGCCCAGCTATGTATATATATATATATATATATATATATATATATATATATATAATATATTGAATGGTAGAGTCTTGGATTTGTGTATATTTTGTAGAGTTTCGAACAAGAATCCAAAAATAATACAAAATAAAAAAACAAGAAAGTTTTTAATAAACAATTTCTTTATTTAATTATTGTTTACTGTCAACGTTTCGGAACTAGGTACGTTCCATCTTCAGGACATCTGTCAAGAAACATGATCTTGATAAGATTAAGCAAACAATATGTTTAGGAATAGAAAATAGATTTTTCTTAAATAATAAATTAATTGTAACAAATAATATACAGAAATATGATAATATTATCATGAGAAATTATTAGTAGAAATATTAGAAATAGAAAAATTATAAGAAATGATTGTATTGACTTTATAATTTTGGGACAATAAAGTCAATACAATCATTTCTTTGATAGACCACGCAATCATGTTGTCTCACTCTTCTTTTCATACCCAAAACACAACATTAGTAACTAAAACTTTATTAGAAAACGGATATCCCTCACCCTCATCAATTCCATTACCAATAAAAGACTTTCCTATCATAAAAGTAACAATTATCAATCCATCTCCAAGTTATTCCAAGACAACAATATTAAACCAACTTTTCACAGCATGCCTTACATTGAAGGCTTATTTGATTATTTTGCCAAATTACTCAAAGAAGAAATATTTTCATTTCAGGAACAGCTCTATATCTTTTAAAGAAATGTTTTCATCCCTTGCAAAAATTGTCAAAAACAATACATTGGCCAAACATCACAGTACATTCATAAGAGAATGAGACAACACGAATTAAGCGTCACTCATCATAAAAGCCGAAATTTCCAAAGTACTCTTGTCCAGCATTCCATCGAAAACTCACATAATTTCACCTTTGAACCCAATATTTTATATAGAGAGGATTGTACTTTTAAAAGACTTTTTCTGAAAGCAGTTTAATCTTTTTGAATTCGTCAAATAGTGTTAATAAAAGATCAGATCACAATATCATTCATGACTCATATTTAAATTTTTTAAACCTGATTAAAAATAATTAATCCTAATAGTTTTTGAATATGTATATATATACATGTATATATGTTATAATATATGTACATCCATATATGTGCTTATATGTATGTTTTTAGTGTACACTATACACATACACTTGCATATATGTTCATGTGTATAATTGTAGATACATTAATATATAGATATGTGCATATGTATGTGTGAGTATGTAGGTGTGCATATACATGTGATGTATATATGTATATATATACATAATATTTCTCAACTTTTACTAAAGAAATATTTCCTCTTTTTCGTAAATTACCAAACAAGAGCCATAAAAAATCATTTTTGCCAAGAATCCCGTACATTGTCCTTTACATCTTGCAGACAGAAATCCATATCAGTGTGTTTAAGTCTTGTGTAGTCGTAACATCTACAAATATCTTCCAAAAAAATCGAGTGTTTTTAACAAAAAATATTAGTGATATGGATATATAAATTATTACAGGTAAATAATTTTTGCTTCTCAATTTTATATAAAACCTTTTTAGTTAAGTCTTATTACTCTTTACCCC